GAAGATGAAGATGAAGATGAAGATGAAGATGAAGATGAAGATGAAGATGAAGATGAAGATGAAGATGAAGATGAAGATGAAGATGAAGATGAAGATGAAGATGAAGATGAAGATGAAGATGAAGATGAAGATGAAGTTGAAGATGAAGATGAAGATGAAGATTAAGATGAAGATGAATGATAAAGATGAAGATTAAAATAAGTAGGCTATTATGATCGGCCTGTAATTCTGGCAGGAGATTTCAACGTCAACATTTCGCTGGTCAAATCTGATGAACTGACAAAATTTTTAAAGAAAAATTTTCACTGGAAATGGTAATGGTAGAAATGATCCAACAACCAAAGGAGCGGCTTCATATCTTACTTTAGCTACCACAATCTACTAGTTAATATTGTAGATATTGATGTTTTCGAAGGCACAAGTAATAATTAAACTTTGCAGTTGGTTATAAAAAAAAAATTAAAGGTCGTCGGTTAAATAAATATCGAGCCCTAACCGCCAAAATAACGTAAGCGACATTTTTTTCAAAATTTTCTTTTTGATGCAGAAATATTCCTAGAGCATCTAGAATATGTACACGTTTAAGTATATCGCACATTTCTTTCTTTCTGGCATTTCCTCTATTAAGTTTCACTTCTTCCGCGCGTAGGGACTAAACGCACTGAGTTTTTTTTTTGTATCAAAAATGTCACATTACGATATACTACATATTAATCTTATATTTCTTTCTTTGACTCCCTTACTTCACGAAACATAGCTCTGAATAGCTTTAGTTTTAATCAATATTACTTTTAATAAAATAGCATAATATCGCTTTAAAAAATCAACTGTTTCAACGCAATATAAAAATTTTTAAATTTAATTCAATCTTTGGTTTGCTTTTATAATATATTTCGTTTTCTTTATTATTTTTACTACAACGTATTTTTGTAGATTGTGCTCTCCATATATGACAATCCGCAGAAATTTGTTGACTTTGATGATCATGTCAATAACAGCCTAACACAAATTTCGAGGGCAAATACACCGCCATTAATTAAAATTTCCATTATTTTGCTCTCAAAATCACTGCTTTTAACCTTCCCTTATACCACCGAACTTTTTTAACTTATTAATTTTTTGCCAACGAAACTTCTTATAGAAACGTTATACGTAACGCCGTGGAATTTATTAGCTTTGCTTTTGCATACTAACGGATTTTTCTATGTTATCTATA